ACTCGTGAGAATAGATCAAAGAGATCTCGGGGGTCCGAACTGTTTAACGCGCGCGGGTACCCCCCGGGCATGTTACAGTTTCTGGCGACTCTGCTGGGGATTTTATGAAACCTTGACTCGAATTCCATGATATGACCTTTATTTTCAATTATATGTTCATTGCATTGCATTCATTGGTGCACTTCAAGTCCTTGTGTTGCCCAGATACTGGTGGGAGCGCAGGTAAGCTTTTTGTGACACTATACCTATTTTTACGATACTTTAGAGGCCTTGTGTTGTAACCTTTTGAGATTTGTCAAAAGGGTAGCTTTGCTATGTAGCCCTGCTATCTAGCTTTGCTATCTAAGGTTCTCAGACTCCGAAGAGAGGCTATTTGACTCTTCTGATTTCCTGGGATCTTTATTGGTTATGACCCAAAGGACTCTTTGGTAACGTCACCTTGGCTTCAACCCGTAAAGTAGAGCCAACCTTGTACATATGGTGAGCTATAGTACCTTTCAAATTAGGACAGGATGCTTTCCCGTTTCTAGGATGTATGATACCGCTTGTGTGAATAGTGAAACCCTAGATCATTCCAAGCTAGGACAGGATAACCCTACCCTCTTTAGGGGTGTTTGTTCTCTTTCTTGCTTTATGTGCAATGTATTGGATCTATATAGGGGTTCTCAAATTTGAATGAGTGGTTCAGGATGTTCAGTTTAGCATCATTACTTCCAAAAAAAAATAAATATATATATATATATATAACAAAAACATAAAAATCAAAAAACAAAATAAAAAAAAAAAAAAACTTCAATATCCCACAAAGTCGACCATTGTAAATAAATAGAACTTGTAAAGAAATCCCAAATCATATATATATATACTACCGTATGCCCGTGCCTGAAGGCACGGTGTAAATAATGTTAGGATTATAACATAATTGTAATGGGACAAAGTTCAAATATGGGACAAAGTTAAAATAATTTAGACGGTCATATTCAAATAATTTGAACAAATATGTATATGAAGATGCAAAAAAAATTCGCTTATGATGTTAAAATCTCAATAACTCATAACTTTACGCTTGTTTTTCTGTTTTAGACAATTGTTTTTATTCTAAATATTTATTTATTTATTTTTGGTTTCCTGATAGAGAACATGTTTAAAATGAAATTCAGTACATATTGCTCATCCAAATAAGTAATAACCTTGCATGAGTGCAGACTCAATTGAACCCTAGATAACACTGATCAAACTATCCATATGGAATGCTTCAACATGTGGCCTTAATCAATGAGATGACATAGTAATAATATGACCCATTTCAAACATAAGAGCATTTCAAATTTATCAATCAACGTGTTATCAATTTGACTATATTATCAACTGACATTGAACATAGCTAATTGAAGACCACATGGCAATTTGACAATATGTGCATACAACATACACTCAGTTTCAAAAACTGACGGGAACAGGACCATATCCCTTTTATGCCCCACAAACAGCTGTTATCTACTGAACTGCCTTGACAATGTTGTCATGACAACCGAAGCACGTACAATAATTCAAACCAACATGATCAAATTCAAGAAAGAAATTATAGAAGACATCAATGCCATTCATATCAGAAAGTTAAGACTCAACCACAATGTGTTTTCATAATTGTCCGTTGGAACATAAATTTTTTAGGCATTTTTCAAAATTTAGATATGGTTATCCATATTTTAGAAATACAGAAAAGTCTGTTCCACTACAAGTATCTTCGGTTAAGGTTTCAAATTCTATAGCAACTACAAAGAACAAAAGAGGAAGACAAACGTACCGGCCAGAAAGAACCCGATCCATGTCCTGTAGCTCTGCTTCCAGGAATCGACAGCCAAGCATAAAATTTTCATTTTGAAATGAATCCTTATTTCCTGAAATTCCAAACACATTCAATTCAACATTCCTGTCATCCCCCTAAAGCTAAGCATCAATGACTAAAGTATAAATGAGAAAATTTGGGTTGTACATGTTTGTTTTCTCAGTAATAAACAGGAGAAAAAGAGTAGGATCTTACAAGCAGATGAGAACTTCCAAGATCACGTGCTGTGTCAATATATAAATGTCTGCCCAATATGTTGACTTGAACTCTAATATATAAGCTAAGCATTGTCATTGCCCAAAGGGACAACACCATTCTTGTGAAACCTGCACAAACCAATAAAACAAAAGGTCAGCACAAGGTAAGCTCAATTCTAGTAACTTAACAGTTCTAAGATTTAAAGAAAGCATCACATTAACAATTCATACTTAAAATTTTGAGTTTCTCCCAGTACTATTGCTTAATCAACAAAAAGAGGGTTAGTCCCAAATTAATACAAAATTAATCAACAAAAAGAAAAAGAGGGTTAAACTATTGCTTATAATTACACAGTACCCAGATGAAGATAAAACAAATTTAGTCATAAAAATGAGTACTTTAAAGAAATCCCAAATCATATATATATATATATAAAAAGAGAGAGAAAGTAATTGAGGACAATCAGTGTTAGTCCTTGGAATACCCAATTCGAGCTCTAAATTCCCAAATACCAACAACAAAAGATATACACAAAACACAAATATACAGATCATTATAACTTCAATCCGAAATAAATAAATAAAGAGTAAATAAATAAATAACACAAATATGTACAAAAATATTTAGTAGCTCAAATTTGAGTTTGTTTAAATCGTCTGCATTTATGCATGTCGGTCGACTGTTCGGACGATCACTCAGACGATTAGTGTAACACTTGTCTATGGCGGATAAACTCAAATTCAGGTTACATAATATTTATATATCTTTGTATCTTTTAATTTTTAAATTATTATGAAACCATGACAATAACATAGTCCTAATTTTTGAGTGAATCATCGTGTGCACTTGATTTTTCATTTTTTGTCCTTACTTCTATTTGTATTTCACATCTAATAGATTTTGATTAGGTATATCAATTCGTAACCATTTTGTATTTATATATCCGTTTTATGGTAACCAAACAAAAAATAAAGAGCATTCCTTTGTTAAAATTGAGGCTTTCCTTTTGAAGTTTATCAATGAGTTCATTTTGGATCTTTACACCTTGTCGAAGAGCATTCCGTGAGGCTTCCAGCTTTGAGTATTTCTCTTTCAACTGCATATACAAAACACATTAAAAAAAATAACTACAAAAATGGTATGACCAGAATTAAAAATAAATCAATACCACAACACAGCATGGATTCACAGCCTGAGGTTTCGCCACTATCTCTGCTTCCATCGCTGCAAAAAAGCACAGGAAAACAATTAGGTTAAGACACCAGTATATACATGAATACGGAGTGATTGAGAAGTAGAAAGAGGTAAAGGTACTGTTTAGTTCCTTGCAAAAGTGAGGGAGAAAGAGAAGAAAAAACTCACACTTCTAGGCATTTTGCCTAAGCACACAAAAAATTGCACTCTCTATTTTGCCAAACAACTCTAGCTAATGTGTACTCCAACAAGACTTTATTTTAGTTAGCCATTCAAACTATCTAAACTGATTTTCAAAACGAAAATGCTATGTAAATTTTTTTTTTTTAAAAAAAAGAAAAAAAAGAGAGGCTATTTTTCATGGCATGCCACATAGGCACCTAGTGTTGACATGGTTGCAAAGAAGCAACATCTACAAATTGATTTAGAACCAAATCAAACAAACATGTAGATAGCAATGCATTCTAAAAAAGTAGTCAAGAGTCAAGTCACTCTCCAAAGTTGTAAAAACTAAATAAAACTGCAATAAAACCAAAAGAATGCGTTTTTTCAGCTTACCCATCTGAACAACATAAATAAAAAAATCAATAGTAAGTTTTGAATGAAAACTGGAGACTATTGCAAAGTCTTCTAGATACAGCTACAACACATCACATATTCCATCTTGGACTATTTAAATTCTTCATCGCTGGTAGAAAGCTATCAATAGAACCTTTGGGTGCTCCCCACGGCCTCGAAACAACCCAGGCGGTTCGACTCAAAAGTTTCCAACCAGCAGTTTGAGATTTGATCATACTCTATATGAATGCTTTGAGAATGATGAGAAAATGCATCCAAAGCAACTATACTATGTCAGTATGTCATAGCTAGCAAATTGATATATTTCACAAGGATGAGGACCCCAATGTATCTTAGAATAGTCTTGGATGGCAGGAATTAAAGATAAGGAATTGGAATCCCACTACCAAGAACCCCATCCCTAATAACAAAATGAAACTTTCCAATCAAATATATAAGTGATAATCAGAGCCGAGAGTTCGTATCCAAGTGATATATACTGAGAAAAAGTTGCTCCATGTGAACAGCTCACTTGAGTAGTTCTTTCAAATTTCATTTTGTACAATATCCAACTTTGGAAATGATAAAAGGAGGAAGAGAGAGAGAGAGTGTGGGGAGGGGGGTGGAAGGGGTGCCATTACAGAAAACAAGTTAGTTAGAATGCTCAAGTCTTCTCTATAAATGGAGTTGACTAAAAAGAATTGATGTTGGGGCAGAATATCTATTATAGCTTTTCTGTTTTTAACAGGTAAATAGTAAATTTCGTATTCACAAATCAGAGCAAGGCATGACACCCCAAATTCCAAAGCATGATACATAAATCAAAGCTAGCAGAAACCTTCTCTTTGACACCATCAAGGCTAACCCACATATACTTTTCCTCTTGTTTCAGTTTCTCTTCTCTCAAGGCCTTCTTCTCTTGCATGAACAGCAACTCTCAGATTGATAAATTTTAAAAGTACATAAATATCACTCAAAATATTTTCTGAATGAATCAGGCAATTACAGACAAATCACTACACAAGTACAAATAATAGTTATCCTGTGAAACTGTTGGATCAGAAACTGAATCTACCTCAAAGCAGTGGTAGATTAGGGAGTAAGTATTGCCACAGATGTCATTATATTATATTGAGCAAAACTCAGAGCAAATAAATATTTCGAGAGTAAAATCAGATTGGATCTTGAAAATAAGGATTAGATTAATAGGATCTTTGAAGTAGTTATCTTTATTTTATGGTGTGGATGACCTTAGAGAATTTTTTTTGTTTATGGTAGATGACCTATGCTTAAGTGCAAATTTATTACCCAAATTGTGTTAAAACACTTGAGGATGCACTTAAACCCTCTTTAGTGGTTAGACTATTAGTCCAAGTTGCCTCTGAACAGTCAATTTCATCCCTCTGTTCTTGTTCTAGCAACATTTTTCTAGTAATTTTGGGTCAGACGATTGTAACTTCTGGTCATCTAGAGCTTAAGACAACTTCATGTCCCAAGAGTGAGGGGCCAAACACTATGCCAGCCTGCTAGGCACAAGTAAAATTGTTAGTTCAATCATGTAGTTGAATGTGTTTTGACCAAATTTACAAGGATAAATCATGGTTTTAAATAATGGTAACCATATTATGTATCATTATTGCCGATATGTCAGCTAATATCGACCGATATATTAACAAATAATGGCATTTGAATTCTAAAATTCATATGTAATAGATGATATGGTACATAAGGATCTATATTTAACATGTGAAACAAACAGTTCTACATTTTAATAACTAACTAGTATGCCTTTCTTTTTAACTGAATTACATAGCCTATTTTGATTAATTAGTCCTAGAGGGTTTGATGCAATTGAAAATGGATGAGAATCCTTACTATAAGAGTGAGGCATAACCCCAAGATGACAGGAAGCAATTCCGTGACAAAATAACTTTCCATTTGCATATGCTAAGTTCAAACAAATTAGAAAATTAAAACGCATGCACTCCAGCTCTCCACCCCTAATAAGCAGATCAACTTTGGGTAGTGGCATATTTCACATACAGCAAGTTCAAACTTTAATATGGAAATAAATAATAAGAACGAAGACTACACAAAAGGAGAGACAATGTAAGACATGAAGCAAGACTCAAATAGTGGATGCGTGATATATGGTTTAAGATTAGCACCTGCATGTTGGTCAGATTCTGTAGAATCTGATTCACACATCTAGCATAATTAGCACAGGATGCTCCTTTAGGAGTAGGAAGAAGACAAGCCTGCAGGAGAAATGCAAATAGTGAAAACAATAAGCTTCTTATGCAACGATTGGAAGACTTTGTAGACACCCCATTTTTGACAGCCCATAAGACTTGGGCGTTACTGATGGTTTACTTGGTGGAGAAAGGTGTGCAGGGCAAAGGTTCAGTTTCTTCGGCAAGAAGAGAGACAAATCTCAACTTCACACCCCATTTTGGACCAAAGTTATTTTGGACGGTTTTTAGACCATAAAACCCTTTCTTTCAAAACATTTTTGAAATAAAGTTTCTACAATGTTTCGAGGCTCACATTTTGTCAAATGATGCGCTTTTCGATAAACCGAGCAAAGACAAAGTGGAAATTAATAAAAGAGAGATGAAATCTTTGAAAAATCTTTCAAAACACCTTACTTAGGGGTTTGAAGTTGAAGAAAAGGGGAGAAGAGGAGAGAAACCAAGTTGGAGGAGAAGACAGACATGAATCCGGGTAGAAGCGAGTCGAGCAGCCCTCGCTGAATCGGCCTTATCTGTCTGTACACTTGGAGTTTAGCTATGGGGCCACCACCATCGGAAAGCTTACTTCCGGGGCTTCATTTTGCACTCAATAATCTCTTAAAGCCAAGTCCGGGTGGGGGAGATATGATCAGTTGAAGTTGGGCATCATCCCGGTTGGATCGAATCTGCGCGGCTTCACCAAAAAGGGCATAACTTTTTTCACAGGAGGAATTTTAATGCAAGATTTGTGCCATTGGAAATCTAACTTCTGGGGCTTCAATCTAGACATCCACCGGCACTTTTGGACCTCATCAGCCACTCATTGGCACTCTATTTATCCGACCGGCTAGTGTAAATTGCAGGTCGGCAATATATTGTGCCGACCGGCCATTTATTTTGCTGATGACTCCTTTCATGGCCGATATGACCCTTTTGCACCCCTCAAGCATGGTTCATGCCAGCTATGCCAGCTATTCTCCATTCAAACCCTCTGTCCGAGATTTTGCCTTTTGGGGGGAAACTTGATTTGTTTTCCCCCCCTTTTTTCCCCCCTCTTTTCCACCCCTTTTGCTTATATATACAGCCCCTCCCCTTCAGATTTTAGGGTTACAAAATTTGTTTTAAGAGCCTTGCATCAATTCTCCCTCTCTCTTTACTCTAAGCCTCAAAACACCAAGTCCTACACCCTTTTCTTCATCACCACCTAGCACCACACTACCACTTCCATTCCAGCAGCTTGGAGGTCTTCTCAGAGGATAGTAGGGAGTTTTTCTTGGTCCAAGAAGAAACCAAGGGTTGGTCTTCAAGGGTAAGTGTCAATTCCCTCTTTTTGAGCTTAATTTTGCAACATTTTTCTAGCTAGTTTGCTTGCTGTTTTGAGCTCCGGCCAAAATTGAAAGTACCATTTATTTGAGCTCTATTTCATGTTTCATTAAGGGACTTTTGTCATTTGAGGTCCCCATCTTGCACTTGCTTCATTATCCCCCTTGTGTGCCATAATCTTGCATAGTATTTTTGGCCTGTGTGTGATCTGTTTTGGAGCATGATGTAAACTTTAAGTGAGCTTATTTTGAGCCCCTCTTCAACATTGAAGAAGGGCTCATCACTGTTTGAGACCTCCATGTGCCACTTGTCATTATATCCCTCTTTGGTCCCCATTTTTGCATGATTTATTAGCCCATTATGCTTCTGTTTTTGGTCATTTTACAGAACTGAAAACAGTATTATTTTGACCCGATATTCATGTTTCATTAAGGGTCTTTGGCTGTTTGATGAATGTTTTGTATACTTTGTGTTTTGACCTCTTTTGGGCCCTATCTTGCATGGCATTTTGAGCATACTTGTGTACTGATTTAGGCTTGGCCATCAACTGTAAAATATCATATTTTTTGCTCCTCTTCAATATTGTAGAAGGCCCCTAATCTGTTTGGGGTCAGCAGCTGTGAGTTGTTTCATTATCTCACATTTATGGCCATTTTTGCATGCTATTTTTTCCCTATTTGTGTTTGCTGTTTGGCCATGCTTTAAACTGTAAAAATGCTTGTTTTGGAGCTGCCTAGCTTCTGTATTCATACTTCATGTTCAAATTATGCTTGCATTGCATAGCTATAGGCCATTTCATGCGCCAAAATTCATTTTTCGGGACTCGTTCCATGCATTAGGTATCATTTTGCCATGATTCAGGGCTGTTTTGCATCTCATTTTGCCTCTGAAAATTGCATGATCATATTCCATATTCCATGTTTTGCCATGTCTTGTTAGAGTGGCATTCCGTGCCGTAGGTTCGGTCCTCGGTTTGCGTGCGCGCGTGCACGCGTCTCGAGTTGTTTCTTTTTCATCTTATGGCCTCTTATATGAGTGTGGCTGAGGTCCACTCATGTTAGTATAAGTCCATTATGCATTGTGTATGCCATTTCATTTCATAGCATTGCGTATGCTAGGGTGTATGTTAGCGCATCGTGTATGCCATGTTACCTCGTGCATCGTGTATGCCATTTCATAGCATTGCGTATGCTAGGTTGTATCTTAGTTGCATTTCATGCATATCATGCATATTGCATCGTGCTTAGGATAGGGGTTAGCCCGAGCACGGGAAACGAGGTACGTTCC